TAGGGATATTATTTAGGAAGCTAGCCATTGGGCCATCTCGAGGCAGTCTTTCTTTGGCTTCCAATCTTTGCAGCACTACAAAGGCTGTTATCCGTTGGGGATCTTCCACTATCAATGTATTATTCTCCCAAATTAAGAAAACCAAAGCTTGCCTGGCTGATGCCTATAGTAAGCCTCATCTGATTCACTTTAACATCATTCATGCTTTAGAAAATGATTTGGCGAGCCTTCTAGAACAAGAAGAAATTTATTGGTAGCAGTGTTGTAGGGAAGATTGGCTCAAATGGGGAGATAGGAATACAAAGTGGTTTCATAAGAAGGCCACTCTCCGGAAACAATGCAACACAATTCTTGGGCATTTTCAAATCTGATGGTTCTTGGACATAGGACAATTTGGAAATTGACTCGTCCTTTGTCACTTATTTTCAGTCAATTTTCACCTCTTCCAAGCCAACTCACGCAACTATTGCTAATGTCCTTCAACATATTCTTACCAAGGTAACTCCGGCTATGAACTCCCAGCTTCTAGCTCTCTTCACGAGGACTGATATTGAGACAGCTATAAAACAAATGTTCGCGATCAAGGCTCCTGGCCCCGACGGTTTTCCAGCACTGTTTTATTAGAAATACTGGGAGATTGTCGGTTCTAAAATAGTGGAAGACTGTTTGAATATCTTTAACAATGGGGGCAACCTTCATGATTGGAATGCAACCAATATTGCCTTCATCCCCAAGGTCAAAAAGCCAAGGTACGTCTCTGATTATCGTCTAATCAGTCTTTGTAATGTCTCTTACGAGATCGTTACAAAAGTTCTGGCCAACAGACTTAAAAAGGTGCTTGATACTATTATTTCGCTTGCTCAGTCCGCTTTTTGTCCAACATAGGGCTATTAGTGATAATATCATTATAGGCCATGAATGTCTTCACTTTATTAAAAGCAAGAGGACTGGTAGGAAAGGGCTTGCTGCGCTAAAGCTGGACCTTAATAAGGCTTTTGATAGAGTGAAATAGACTTATTTAGAGCAGTTAATGCTCAAGTTCAGCTTTACTCTTAGTTGGATTTCCTTGATTATGAAATGTATAACTTCGACTCAATTCTCTATCCTTATAAATGGGAGTCCAATAGGATCAATTATTTGTACCAGAGGTATTCGCCAAGGTGACCCCCTCTCACTTTATCTATTTATGCTATGTGTAGAAGGCCTTTCTATGATGCTCTAGAGTGCAAACTCAAGAGGCCAACTCCATGGTGTTTCTTTTGATTCTGAAGTTGCCCCTGTTATTTCCCATTTACTATTTGTTGATGATAGCTTAATCTTCCTTAATGCCGCTGAACTTGAATGCCTATTTTTGAAGGAGTTGTTGGCCGCTTATGGGAATGCTTCAAGGTAATGTATCAACTTCTGTAAGTCCGCTATTTTGTTCTCCCCAAATGTCCATGTTGATAGGCAAGCCTACCTTCAATCCCTATTGGGGGTTGAGCTTGTATAGGACTTAGGGAACTACCTTGGTTTGCTTTCTGCCTTTTTGAGGAGGAAGGGAAATGACTGGAATTTTCTTAAAGATAGATCTAGAAGGTGATGCAGGGGTGGAAATACAAGTTCTTTTCCGCTGGAGGTAAGGAAATCCTTATCAAAAGCGTGGCCCAAGCAATCTCCTCTTATGCTATGAACGTGTTTCGGTTGCCTAAAGGTTTTTGTGATGATGTTGCTTGTATTTTTACTCGTTTTTTGTGGTGTCTACTAGTGAGCAAAAGATATTACACTGGATGAGTTGAGAGCGCCTATGTATGCCTAAGGAGTTTGGAGGTCTTAACTTTCGTGACTTGGAGGGCTTTAACAAGACACTAATAGTCAAATAAGCTTGGCGATTTCTAAAAAATCCATCATTATTAGCATCCAAAGTTTTGAAAGCTATTTATTTTCCAGACTCCTCTACTTTTTAGGCTACTGCTAATTCTACTGCTTAATATTTTTGGAAAAGTCTCATATGGGGCCGTGACCTATTTCTTCAAGGGACTCGCAAACAAGTGGGCAAAGGTGATACAATAAGGGTTTTTGAGGATCCTTGGTTACCTAGAGAAAAGTCTTTTAAGCCGATCACACCAAAATTTTCTAATGGTAATCTTATGGTTTCTAGCTTAATCGAGCCCTCTGGCACTTGAACCTTGGGATTCTGTCTAGTGTCTTCTACAGAGATGATATTGATCTAATCCTAAAAACTCCCCTCAGTTGTTATAATTTGGAAGACTACTGACTATGATATTAGGACAACAGAGACATTTTCAGTGTTAAAAGTGCCTATAAATTATTCATGAGCAACAAAATTACTGCAGACACCAGCAACTATTTTATAAGAGGCAATTTCTGGAAGAACATAGGGAACATGAGCATTCCTACGAAAATCATATCTTTCCTATGGAGATCAATGCATGGGTTCTTGCCTACTATGTACAATCTTCAAAGGAAAGGGTTAGATGTCTCACCTTATTGCCCATGCTGCAAAAATAAGGTGGAAACTACAGCTCATGCTCATTTGAACTACTCTCGGGTGCAGCAAATATGGTCTACCATTCTCCCTTCTACACCCTGTTCTACGAGTTCGAATGTTCCATTTCCTGATCAATGGGAGAGATGGCATATGAAGCTTAGTAAATCGGAATTAGAAATTGCAGCGATCAAATGCTAGGCCATTTGGAATGACCGAAACCAAATCATTCAAGAAAAGCCAATTCCTGAAGTCTCTGTTAAAAGTGAATGAATTACCTCATACTGGGTTTCATCTCGTCAAGCTTTCCATTCTCCAATACCAGCTCCGCAACAGAGAACAACAATTGCCAATTGGAGTTCGGCCACGGTAGGGCTGAAATTAAATATTGATGCTGCGTGTGGAGCTAATTCGACTGAGTTAGACTTCCTTCTTCGTGATGAATCTAGCCGTTTATTGGCAGCGAGATGTCAGTCTATACCTCTTCCTTACACACATTTACTTGCTGAGCTTCTGGCCATTCATGAAGGTCTCTGCTTTGCAATTTCTCTGGGCTATTCACATTTAACAGTTGAATCAGACTGTCTCACCGCCATTTCTTTTCTTCGAGGTGATTCGAAAACCCTCGGTCCTGAATAGGTTTGGATTAACAATATCGGTGCTCTTGCTCTCAATTTAGATGTCTGTGGCTTCATGCATGTGCTCCGGGAATGCAATCGATCGGCTGACATCTTGGCTAAACAAGGTCTCCATGCCTCTAGTTCTTCTTCGTGGACTTGTAATTCCCCTTTTGGCTTCTTCGTATCTCTAGAAGGGAAAGTTCTTCCCCTCTTGTCGCCCCTGTGGCATTTGTTTCTTAATGAAAGCAATATTTCTAAAAAAACAAACAAACTTTTAGTCGTATATACTCAAATATTTTAGGTCATATAATATATACCTTGAAGTATTTGCCATATATCAAAAATCTAATCACGATTTTAGGGATTTCAAAATAAAAATTAGGAAATAGCCCAAATTCTAAATTTATTCCATATTTGATTTGATTTTTTTTATCTTTATTTAACATATATTGGAAAGGACCTATGAATAATTTTCCTAATTGATTCCACTATAATGTGTCAATCTTTAGACAATAATGTAAATTGTCAAAAAGTTAAGCTAATTGTGTAATTTGAATCCTAAAATAGACTCGCTGTGTACTAATCCTATAATATAAACTTTTTTTTTATTAGTTCTTTTAGTTGGACTTATACACAAATCTCAAAGTTAATTACTAAACTTTAATCTAGCTTTTCCTTTTTTTTTTTTACTAAATATGTCTAATGGTCCATAATATTTTAGATTTTTATTAATTTGGTCTTCAGTGTTTTAAGATGTGTTACAAAATCTCAATCAATTCATCCCATATAGGTAAATATGTTAAAATTATAATAGAAAATTTAGATGCCATTAAATTATTGTTTATTAACATATTTGGATGAGATGCACACGATTAATTTTTTTTACAGGTTCATATATTTTATAATATTAACAATGTTGTAGTATTAAATACCAAATTGAAAGGGAAAAAAAATCCTAAAAGTTTTTATAAACTATTAGAATGTTTTTCATAAATTTTGTAACTAAAACTGAATTCAAAAATTCAGTATTTAAATTTTAACTTTAGTTCATTTTAATGTGGACTTAAAAGGTTAGTTTTAGTCCCTTTAAAAGTGATCATTTTAATTCCTACCTATAAAAAAAGAAATTATTGAAATTTTAGAAAAGAGTATTTCAACACAAATTCTATACCTAACACATAAATCTTTTAATATAAATTAATGATTATATTTTAAGAAATGTATTGAGTTTAGTATCGTGTTGAAATTGTGATAGAAAAAAGAGATTAAAAATAAAATTAAGAGATCAAAATAGTAACTTTTTTAAAGGATAGGAACCAAAACAAAAATTTTGAAAGTATATAGACCAAAATGAACAAAAGTTGAAGGTATGAAAGACCAAAATAATATTTTTACCTATACACCTGTGCTTATTTTTCGAAAAATTGAATTACGTCACTATCTTTTAGGTTGATAACATGGTTAATATTATTTTGGTAAAACGTAAAAGATATATACTTAACTAGTTGAACTATGACATTTATTTAAATATAGTTCAACCGATTAAGGCATATATCAACGACAATAAAGTCTTGGATTCAAATCCCCACCCCCATATATGATGGTATAAATTAGTAAATTAAATTTTAAAGATTTGTCCCAAGGGACCAAGCTAAATTGTAAGAAAATGATTTCAATCATAGTGGTCACCTACCTAAAATTTAATACTTCACGAATTTTCTTAAAAATCAAATGTAGTATAGTCGACGCAAGGGGAAATTGAAAGACTATAATTTAAGGAATCAAATTACTTTAATACCCCACGGGATACATGGGGCCGTTATCCCATTCCTATCATACGTGTCAGGCTTGTTTCCACGTGTCATGCCGAGATGTGTATCCATGGACCGCACTCCGCTCTCTGTGGCGCGCGCGGGCATTAACAGACGAACGAGGGTAGGCTTCACAATCTTCTTCTCCTTCGCGATATTTTTCCCACTTTTGAAGCTCTAATCTATAATGGCGAAGGCGTTTTTAAGGCCGACGAGCTTTGCGGTTGAAGGGGGATTTGAATGGTGGAATGAGATCGACGAATCGGAGCAATGGCAGAATGGGATTTACTACTTCTTGGCTGCCTCTTATGGCATCATTTCCCTCATTGCCTTAGTACTCCACTCTTCTCTTACCCCTTTATGCTCTTTTCGTTCATTTTCTTCGCAGTTCCGGAGTTGTTTATCTAATTTAATGGCCGTATAACGCGATTGTTTGTTTATTTGTTTGTTTGTTTTGTTTTTCTTAGAAAGCATGTTGTTTTGTTGAGTTCGTGTCTTTATTGGGATTGACTGGTTTTATCTGTCTTGTGCTGTAATCTCGTGCCTCACTTTTCTGTTCAAGATAAAACAGGGCTTTCCTCCCGATGGACAAGATCCATAATTGTACTCTCGTGTACCATCAAATTATCGACGAATATAAGTGTTAAGTGTTGATAATTGATTGAATTTACTGTAGCCCATCGGCACAAGTTTTTGAGTTACGGTGGTTTAATATGATATCGGAGGAGGGCTAGAGTTGGGAATGAAGTTAAAACCCCATGCCCACCCATCTTAAGAATTAATTCCTATGGGTTTCCCAGCACCAAATGTTGTAGCGGGCGTCGGGCGGTTGTCCTGTGAAATTAGTTAAGGTGCATGTAAACTAGCTCAGACACCCGAAGATATAAAAAAAAGGAAAAACGGTATCGGTGGAATGTCATTTCTAAGTCCGGTGGAATGTCATTTCTAAGTCCACTACCACGAGTAGGGGAGTGTTAAGGGTTAATAAAGGATTAAATTTACCGTCCAATGAATTGAGATCTCTCACATATTCAGTTTGTTTGAAGTTTTAAAATAAAATACTCTGTGTGTGGGTTTGTCGTGAGCGTATACTGTATGTGTAAGCTGATAAAAAAGAACTGGATTTTTGGCTTACTTTGAAGAGAGGTTATCTCGGTTCCACTCTCTTTATGAGTTAGGATTTAGTACTTATTGTAAGGTAATTAAGAATGATATGGTGGAGTGTCAACTGTCCAATATGCCCTTGGACAATCAGGATTTATTGTGGGCATTCCGTCTTAGTTTGTTTCATTTGCTTCACTTTCTTCCTCATTTATATCCAACAAGAAAGAGAGTATGACCAAGCCAAGTGGAACCCTTTATGCAGTTTCTTGATAACTTTTGAAATTTACAAATGTAATAAAAACTTTAACCAGATTTTGTAAGTTCGATTAGATTTCTTGGGAAAAAGAACACGATAATTGGTTTGGTCTTTGTAATTAAAGCCTAATACTTAGAGTAATTGCTCAAGTTTTCAGGTTCAACTTATCCGAATTCAAATAAGAGTACCAGAATATGGGTGGACAACACAAAAGGCGTTCCATTTGATGAATTTCATTGTAAATGGATGTAAGATTGTATATTTGTTAATTTTTATTTATTTTTAATTATACTTGATGAGTAAATGTACCTTATTTGCATTTTGATAGTGAGGGCTATTCTCTTTGGGCTTTATAAGAGTGTTTTCCTCATTCGGCCAAAGGTAGGTTTCTTATATTAATTGTGATAATGCCAACAAGGATTTGTAGATTATTAATGTCCTATCGAAGCTATGGTTATCGAGTATATCTAGGCCTCATTTTGATATTGTAGTAATACCATATTGACATTTATTTATTTTGTAACTATATGAAACATCCAGAAGGCTTTCTGAAGGTGAAATTGATAAATAAATATAAACACTCAAAAGCCTTGTTTCCTGATTTCTGTTGGTCAAGAAAATCCAGGGATTTCTTCCTCCTCTGACACTGGGAACCATAACATTGTTAGATGAAGATTTATTGCATTGTGTTAATATTGTTACCCATCATAATCCACAGTGCAGCAGAGCATCATATTCCCATGCAAAAAAAGCAAGTCAATATATAGACTTAAATTGATAATCCAGATATTCAGAGAGATCCACATACCTTTTCCCATGATGTAACTACGACTATTTTCTCTGAACTATATGGGTTGGAACTTTCATGTTGGTAAAGGCTCTTGAAATGGTGGTTATGGAGATTCCTGGACTTCTATTTTTTTCAACATACACTCTGCTTGTTCTATTTTGGGCTGAGATATACCATCAGGTACAAGAATCATTATTCTAATTAATCTGGACGAAGTTATGTTACATATTATATCAATCCTGTGCTAGAATTTTCATTGGTAATCCATTTAGGTGATTTTTATTCTCTCAGGCACGGAGTCTTCCTATTGATAAACTTAAGCCCACTTACTGTATCATCAATGGAGTTGTGTATCTTACACAGGTAAGATAGAATATGTCACAACCAAAAGTTGTCTGTACAATGTGAAAACAGAATGAACTGAAATTGGTTGATTTGTTTATATTAATTTTTTCTTGTCAATTATTTGTCATTGTGTTGCAGATCTGCATTTGGATATTTGTGATGTTAAGCCGAACACATGGTGCAGTTATAGCTGCTAAGCTCTTCTTTTCAGGTTGCAGTTTGAGACATACATTTTTTTCCCTTATATAAAAAACAAATGATATTTTGATATTCATTTTCTAATGTGACAAGAAATGTGATGTATAATTGATGTCCATTTTCAACTGGAACCTTCCATAAAAAATTGTCAACGGGAACCTTTTGGTTTTCAAATCCTTGTTTATAGAGGCATATGTAAATGTAATTTTTTTTTCTCTATTGTTTCCAGTGGTTTCATTTTCTGCTGCACTGGGTTTCCTGATTTATGGTGGGAGGTAATATCTGTTTATGAGGAGCTGTGGTTACTTATGTTCTACACTAATAACTTTGCTCTTAACAGGCTATTTGTCATGCTGAGACGCTTCCCTATTGAATCTAGAGGGCGCCAAAAAAAGTTGTATGAGGTCGGTTTAGTAATGCGTTCTTTTATGGACTATGCCTGGAAAACATAAGAAATACTGTATAACTAGAATTGTTTGAAGCAATGGAGTTTAAGAAACCTAAATATCTGAAAAGGATACATCATTTTTCAATTTTGTCTCCAATGTTCCAACAGAACTATTTCATACCCATATATTTAGAAAAATTTATCCCTATTATAAGGGTTACATGACATTTCAAAAAATATCTTTTTACATGTGCTAGAAATATCCCCTACACCCTACTGAAATGAAGGTATTGTATCCAATTAGAAAAATGACCCCAGGAAGGAATGAACACAAGACATTCAAATGCTACACCACTACACCGCTATTCCATTATTAAATTTCAATAAGAACTTATTGAAAAATTTTGAAAGATCGGAATGAAATTAAACTCTTAAAATATTAAGGATGAAATTTAAGAATGGTGTATATTTTAGAGATACATGATAGATTTAGCCTTTTAAAGGATGCAGATTTTCTGAAGCTGTGGTTGATTTCTTATTTTTCCTTATCCTTGCAGGTTGGTTGTGTGACAGCAATTTGTTTTAGCTGTTTCTTTATAAGATGTTTTGTGGTAAGACGTTTTGATTTCCTTATGATTTCTGTAATCTTCATACCCATTCCTTAAGCAATTAATACATACATATATTTCTTCATCTTGTAGCTTGCCCTCTCGGCATTTAACAAGGATGCTGATCTTGATGTCCTAGATCATCCCATGCTCAACTTGATATACTACATGGCAAGTTTTCTAATTCCTAGTCTATATTATAATATTTTTTTCAAAGATGAATGGATTATTCTTTTAGTTAGTATTGCAAGTAAACAACTGAGGACGTTAAAAAATATTCTATTTGTTGGGATTATTTAAAGGGATTTACAGGTCTATTGTCTAACCCTTTTTTTTTTAACTTATAAAACAAATATTCATATTATCAATGGATACATTAAATTTAATTTCACATGCTTCTACATAGGAATAAAGATCCACAAGAAAACTTTACAAATTTATTTGGGGGTCATTGATGCTTCTGTGAATGAGACATCAAGTAGAGTGAAGGATTTTAGGCCTAGAAGAATGGTCACAAGCTTGTATAAGATAATCGCGAAGACTTTGGTTGATAAATTGATAAAGGTCTTCTTAGCATGATTTTTGATTCTTAAGGGGCCTTCATTGTGGGGGGGTAGATTTGGATCAAGTTTTTATTGCTGATGAGGATATTTAGGATCATAGAATTTGTAACAAAGGTGTTATTGTAAGCGGGATGTTAGCTAAGATCAAGAAGGGAGTTGCGATGGTGAGTATGACTTACAGAAGTCTAGGAAAAATTTATATATATATTTCTTAAATGTGTTATCAGAAGGCATTTATGTTCACTTGGGAGAAATTTATGAAGCATATGTAAGAGACTCCTTTATTGGGATAAGCTGAATTTATTTATTTATTGTTTTATATAATTTCTGATGAATTTGATGTGCATTCTACTGCAGTTGGTAGAGATTGTTCCGTCGGCATTGGTTCTGTTTATACTGAGAAAACTTCCTCCGAGGCGTGTATCTGATCGGTATCACCCCATTGAATGAAGCTCTCAAAAATTTCTGGTCAGCAGAACTTTCCATTCTAGTTATGTTTTTATTCTGAGTAGAAGATTTTTGTTCTTTAGGACTTTAGTTGCAGATTTCTGTTTGTCTATTTGGCTAGATTTACATTATCGCTTCTACTTTAATAAAAAAATACCTCTTCAAGCTGAAAAAAAAAAAACCTTCTGTCTTATGCAAAATATACCATTACTTTTAGGATGCTTTATGATTCAATAATACTTCAATGTCATAAATGTGGGATCAGTCTAATTATAATAGATTAGAGAAGAGTGTACAAAATGTGTCCAAAATTCAACTTCTAACCCAAAATTCTTGGCAATATAAATGTACTTTAATAACCATTCTTGGTAATATTTTGTTTTTGTTGCCTGTTGAGAAAACTTTGTTCATTAATAATTTATAGTGATGAACCTGTCAAATTTTCTTTTCTAAAATACTAGCCTACTGTTTCTTTCTTTCTTTCTTTTTTCTTTTTCCTTCCTGAGAGAGCAATATGAGAGTAAGGAGTGAGTCTCTGGCTCTGTGGTGCTATTTGGATTCTGCTATTGTGATAGAGCGGAAAAGGTTTACCATTTCTTAGGGGTGGAGTAAGGAATAGGATTTAGGAAATTGGTAAGGTGTGGCTTCTTAATTCAGTTGGTTTCAACATTGTAGTAATATATATGGTATTAAATATTCACAGATTTGTTGTAATTTGAAAAAGTTTACCAACCCAGTCCTTTGTACCCTTTTCTTCCCATTTTTCTATTAAAATAAATCCAAACTATGGTTTTTCTTTAAGAAAAATAAGATTGTCGTGTTTTGCTGCCAACCAACAAAAAATGACAAAAATCCTAAAAATTGGAATTGTAAGATAGTAGAATCTAGGCTAGTCTGGTCGTTATTTTTACATTTTAAATTTTGTTCCTAAACTAGGCAAGATACGTTGTTGGGCTAATAGATAATAGAAAATCTGCTAAAGGTTTGTTTTTATTTATAAGGAACGAATGTCTCTGTTGATTGCATGGTGTATTCAACATGGTGTTTTGGAAACGTGAGCAATCTGGAGAGGGTTGAGACAAACTATAACTGATGATGAGCTATTCGGATGTGATAAGAAGTTTTTTTGGATAAATAAATAACCAAATGAAAAGGACGACAAAAATTTCCTATCTTGTTTCTTTGAGATCATCCTCCATGCAATCCCAACCCTTCATTTTAATGGTCAACGACAAAGAGAATGGCGACCAAAGAAAAAGAGAGAGAGAGAACCACCGCTGATTTGGGAAAATAAAAAAAAGCTCTCTCTTTCTCTCCCTCTATCCCTTCAACAAAATGACACGAAGTAGGTCTTATCTACTGCTCCTGTACATTCGGCGCCGAGGATCGCAGCCGCTTAGTCGGAGACTCGGCGGCGGATTCGGGGCTCATAGAGCCGGTGTTGTCACAGCTACTGCATGCAGCCACATCGTGCATGCCGAATGGACTCGGAGGCACCGGCTGCTCGGGTTCACCACTCTGCTGTTTTCGGAGCGTTGCCGGACACGTGTCGATCACATACTCCTCCATTTGTTGGTGACAGCTTTTCACCATTTCAACTCTGTTCGCTGCCAGGAAATGGCTACATAACGGCTAGAGAATTGAACCTCTCGCCAGCCGTGCAGAGAACGGCTGCAGCAGCGATGGCAGATGGTGGAAACCCCAAGAAATCGATCACTGGGTGCTGAGAATTAGGAAACCCCAAGAAATCGATCACTGGGTGCTGAGAATTAGATTGAAAGAAGCAGAGAAGAGGCAATGAGAGTATTCCTCGTCTCCATCATCGGTGGTGGTGTGGAAGAAGAAAGAAGGTTGGAGATGAAGTGGTGTTGCTGCCAGATGGTGGAAACCCCAAGAAATCGATCACTGGGTGCTGAGAATTAGATTGAAAGAAGCAGAGAAGAGGCAATGAGAGTATTCCTCGTCTCCATCATCGGTGGCGGTGCGGAAGAAGAAAGAAGGTCGGAGATGAAGTGGAGGAAATCGAAAGGTGTGACGTCGCTTAATCTCCAATTGAGATTAGAAATGGCCCAAAGCTCCATTCTCTGAACCGTTTTGGGCTCGAAAACATATTTCGGTTTGAAAATTTGGAGGTCCAAGAGGTTCTTCCATTTTCGCCACTTAGGACAAGCACACCACATATAGAAGCTGAAATGGCTATCGGCCATACATTCAGTCGCGGAAGGAAATTCAAGGAGAGAGAGTGATCAAAGTAATTGATGGAGAGGAAATCAGTAATTGGTTTAAAATTGTAGTGCTCGTGCACCTTCAAGATCCACTTGATGGAGTCTTGGCGAGCGGTGAAGTCGATCGAACGGTCCTGGCACCGGCAGACATAGTCACGGCAAGGCATGTGGTCAAACTCCGATAGGACCTGCGATCATAGTCACAGCAAGGCATGTGGTCAAACTCCTATTGTAGAAGCCTGGAAATGGTGGACTCATTGGAGATCACGAGACGGTAGAGGAAGTCGCGGGCGGGGGAGGAGGTAGAAGAAGCGGAATGATTAGAAGAGAGACACATTGATGATGGGAGAGGTCACCGGAGAGGAAATGCGGCGGCAGCAGCATTGGAAAGTAGGAGGAAGATGAATCGGCAATGAAGGTGGCGGTGGGTCTGTTGAGGTAGATGGTCATAGCTTTATGGGTTCGGATGGAACATGAATGACTGATAAGAAGTTGGTTATATGTTTGAATGACTGATAAGAAGTTGGTTATATGTTTGTATAGTTCTTCAAATGTTTGGCGGGCGGAGGTTGGGGCTTTAGGAAGGTCAGATGGGTTGATCATAGATTGGGCATGTAAATGGTGTGTTGGATCAATCACGGTTGCCACCTATGTAGGATTTCTCAACACGAATGTTGTAGAGTTAGTAGGAGTGTGTTAGTTGTCTTGAATACTTTCTTTCATGAAAAAGAAAACAGAGAGAAAAAATCTAGGTTGATCTTGTGTGACTTTTCTTTGGTGCCGACTTTGGGTGTTGCCTTCTCTGTCTCGTTTGCTAAATAGTTGGTTGGCAGAAAGGATTGGTGGTCAAGTGTGCTATGTGAAGGTTGGCCAGGGTGTAAGCTAAGGAGAAAATTGAAAGGATTAAATAGAGATTTTGAAGAGGTGGAGGTTGGAGAAAAGGCAGGGAGAGTACAAGATAAGGAGGAGTTGGAAAAAGCATAATCTGGTCTTGATAAACAGGAGGAATGCAAATTGTTAATTGTTCAAGGAAACGTTTGTTGCTCTATGCTATTTGAAGAAAGAAACTGCTGCAAATGGGAAAATTATATGGCTGAAAGAAGTGGATGGGGGAATTTAGATCTTTTTTTCCTCAAACCGTTGGCTGCAAAAAGAAGAAAGAAAATCTGATTTTCGAACTGTGAAATGACAAGGGGGAGAGTTTAATGGAGGAAAGTCTGATCAAACAAGAAATAGTAGGTTTTCCCAGAAAACTATACGCTAAAGAAAGAGGTGAGAATCTGTTCCAGAAGGGATAAGGTGGCAGCCTATATCTGAGAAAGAAAAGACTAGGCTTGAAAGAACTTTTGAGAAAGAAGAAACGGGGAAATGTGAAGTCTTTTGATGGGTGTAAAGGCCCTGGTCCAGATGGGCTTACATTGGAATTTTTAAGGAAATTTTGTATGTGCATAAATTGATTTTATGGAGCTGTTACAAAATTTTTGTAAGAGAGAAACGGGCATTTGAATTCTTGTTTGAAAGAAAACGTTATTTGCTTGATAAAAAGGAACAAGAAGGTTGAAAAAGTGAGAGACTATAGACCAAGAAGTCCTGTAACTAGTGTTTATAATGTAGCAGTAAAGATTATTGTAGGAAGGTCAAAGAAAGGCCTTAAGTTCCACTATTTCAAACTGTCAAAATGCCTTTGTTAAAGGTAGGCAGATTGTGTGTTCGATTCTTATCGCTAACAAACTTGTAGAGGATTGTAGGAGGAAGAAGTGCAGGCATGGTTGGTTAAAATAGAATGGTTGGTTAAGATAGACTTGGATAAACAAGATTATGATATGGTGGATTGGAAATTTTTATGTGAAGTCATGAGAAGGAAAGGTTTTGGAAATAGATGATATCTTGGATGGAAGGCTGTATTTTCAGTACCAAGTTTTAAGTATTCTTGGATGGAAAACTGAGGGATAAAGTGGTTGTTTCAAGGAGGTTAAGGTAAGGAGATCATATTTCTCCTTTTCTTTTTGTTAGTGTGGGATATTGTTTGAGTTGATTATTAGAGCTTGGCGTGCAAAAGGTGTATTTGGAGGGTTTAAGGGTGGGTCGAGATGAGGTCTCGTCTCAAGTTTCTCGGGTAATATATATATATATTTTTAAAGACAATTTAAATTAAATAGCTTGTGGAACTTGTTAAAAGTTTTGAGATTTTATTTTTTCAGATTTATTCGGGTTTGAAGCTGAATCATAGAAAGGCCCATGTGGCAGCTTCAACATCACTGTTACCAAAGTTCGGAGGTTTGTGATGGAGAAGGGTTATTGTGCGGTGTTTATGCCAATAGAAAAATTATTTGAGGAGTTTGGAACAATGTAGTTAGCAGTTTTATGCCATTGGAGGGAGGAGAAAGAAATTAAAAATTACGATTTAACAATCTATTTAAGAGTTTAGAGGAGTGCAGCATCCAAAATGGATGTTTTTTCAGTTAAATCTTTCGTTTACAACCTGATAAAGGGTGAAAGAATTTTGGAGAGTCACTTGTGCCCAGATACTTAAAGTTGGAGACCATCGAGATATGGGTATAGCAGAGTTGAGATTTAAGCTCACCATCCATTTGCATAGTGCCAGTCCCAACCTAGGAAGGACGTGTCCTACAAAAGCTAAATGTTTGTACGTTCAAGTAAGTTTGAATATTATAGGTGGACAACGAGGATGTCTTATTTTGGAGTGTTTGTTGTGCTTGAGAGTCAGCAATATGAGTAGTAACTAGTGGATCCATTTGTTGGAAGTAGTCTTTTAGAATATAAGAGCTCGAAAGAAATGATAGCGTTCATGATAAGACGAATGATAAGTTTGTTTACCAATCTAATATGAAGTTGATCGTTATCTCTCAGTTTCCTTAGATAACGAGTTTGAGCTTTATTTTTATTCGAATATTACTGGTAGTTGGGGTTAGGGTTGTTTCTTCTATATCGGCAGAGTAGGGTGGGTGCGAGGTTCTTGTGATGGGTTGTCTCCTCTCTAAGATACCTCTCTTGAAATCGTTTTGAAAAACAACTTTTTGACATTGTCTTGCACTTCAAGCGATAAGTTCGGGTTTAGTCTATCGAGTTTCTATATTTAAGAAATTGCGAGTTTTGGTAGATTAGATCAGAGAAGATGTTGCATATTGTATTAAAGGTTTATTTAAAATGTAAATTTTGATATTTGAGGCTTGGACTTGTTCCTAAACAATCTCAAAGTATTGTTTTATAGTGGACAAATGATAGAGTGGGAAAGGCCAAAAGAAGAGCAATTATAATGTAAATATTTTCTTGCTTACATCAAACCTTTCTGATGATGACAGTTGAGGTTCCTGCACATCATATTAACAAAAAAATAAAAAAATTAATACCTTCCAAATCTATAAGATTTCTAATTTTTTTTATTGAAAAAAAAGGTATTGTATTCAGATAGGCTTACTTTTGTAAACTAGTTAAGGGGCTAGCTGTTTGGATGTATTTACTCAACACTATTTGATATATGTATTTTTTTTTTGGCACGTTTGATAATTATTTTGATTTTAAAATTTTAGTTTATAAATACTATTTTTATTTATGTATTTGATTCTTTTAAAGTTTAAAAATAATTTTGGTTCCTGTATTTTTAGTAAAATAGTGATACAGAAGGTAGTGATTTAGTCTCGTAATAGATCTGTATTTTTAAATTGGTAACAATTTAATCATTGAACTTTAATATATAACAATTTAGTTGAATTGAATGGCTTGATGTTGACTAGACTTTTCTGATATGGTTTGTAAGGGACTTTTAGACTGTATAGACATAACAAAAAATTAATAAATAATTGCTTTTTTTTATTTGAAAATATAGAGAAAATGGAGGTGTAGCCCAAACACGATAAAATGGAAAAGTCGATTATACCGTTAAAACATGTGGTTTTCTAAAAATGAGGAAATTCACAGGTACTGGTATAATTCATAAATTAGTTATATCAGATATACCTAAATTGAAGTATTGTTGTTTTATATAGACCTAACCTGAAGAATTGTTAGTATGTTAGTGATATACCTAACATGAAATATTGTCACTAATAGATTTAGGTATCGATTATATCAGTGATATACCTAAAATGAAGTATATTACTGATATGCAATAAGAAACTTGCAATGTTACTTAAATCAAATATGAAGTATTGTGGTAGGTATATTGCATATTAGGCATATATCAGTTATATTAATGATATATACTTAGTATTCGAAATATTAGTTATATAACTTATATACCTAATATTAAGTAGTATTTGGTACATCACTTATATAATCGATATACCTATTATGGAGTATATCAATGATATGCTTCATATTACGTATATAAATTTTTAGAAATAACAAGGTAAAAATTAGAATAAAAAAAACGAAAACTTTTATTTAAAAATTTTGGCCATATTTGCCCCCACCCTCCCTCTACGATCACCAAAACGACTTCGTTCTAAATCTTGTAATATCGTAGATTTGAGGTGTTTTTGTTTCAAGTTTGGAATGGCGGAGTGAAGTTTAGTTAAACATGGAACGAGAAGCCATTTTCCATGGTCACAAATGCTTAGATTGTTATATGGTGTGTTGATAGTAGAAGGAGAAAATAATTTGGGCAAGTTAAGTTAAGGTAGTAGTAACCTTCCTCATTAGTCTAGCTAAGCTAAGGTTCGAATCACTAATCTATATTGATAATAATAAAAAATAAAATCTAAAAAAATAATTAAATGTGTTGTTTAAGTAGAGAAGAAAAAAAAGAGGAAGAGTGTAGTAATAACCTGAATTTGCTTGTATCGAAACAACTTTTTGAATAAGAAATAGCCGATGCATCCGGTTCGGTTAGCCCTTTCAACGGCGTCATGCATATACTCTAATAGACATTCGTACGTCAAGTTTTTAAAATTCTTCACTAAATCTATTAGAATGAATGTCATTGCCCCATTCATTGTCTTCCCGGTTAACATCTGCACCCGATTCATCACCTTAAAAAAGTTAATTGCTTCAACTCCAATCAAAATATGTAGAGTGTGCCAACATGAGCATATAGTTTAGTGATAAATGACTTTTACTCCTTCCTTTGAGTTTGGAAGTTTAAATCTAAATATCCCTACATATGGTGTATTAAAAAAAAGAAAAAAAAAGAAAAACTCTACCCTACATTTAGGTATAATTTATTTTTCTCTATAGTTTTTAATAGTTCAACATAACGAAGAAGGAAGTCCTTCCTAGTTTATCGTAATTCAACAATACTTCAGGTTTGGTGATTGTTTTTTTGTTTTTTTTTTTGTCTTAACTTGTCTCGGTTAAATTTTTGGAATGGAAAGATTATATATATATAAAGTGAGCATATAAGCTTTTGCCTCTCACACTAAGAAAATTTTTGGTTTACGCCCCACTCAACACAGTTAAGGAATCAATAGTCTTTCAATAGGTTTTGAAGGTTACGATTGAAATGCTCCTTCAAAAAAAAAAGGGGAGAAAAAACTTGTACATGATGGGGACTTATAAAAAGATACTCTCCTTTATACACAATTTGTAATGCAATATCAAAAAGATTAAAATATCTGAACCAATTATTTTTAACTCGAGGAAGATTCCAAAAATTTTTTGTAAATAAAAAGGTATGTAGAAAATTTCAAAAGTAGAAATGTTTGTTTGTTTTTCCCTCAAAAAATAAGAATGAAAAACAAAATGGCATATATAGATGAAAAAAAGAGGGCATAAGTAGAAGGATCATCTTACAGAAGTATCAGCAGCATATTGATCGTCTCCACAAGCAGACAAAGAAATTGCCAATCCGCCGCTCGTCTCCTTCCTTGCCCCCGACGGTGGTCGGTTGTCGATCCACCCGTTCCTTTCCCATCCATATCACACAAATATTCTTTCATAAACCATCTAAAAAATTTGACAAACTGAACCGAATCGAATAGAAACAAAAAGCAAGGAGAAAAGTTGAGACCTTTGGCTGTAGACGTAAGGTAGATCGAGAATGGTTCCACTATGGCAAGCATCGACGATGGCATGAAGCTTGACGCCGTTCTTTAGAGGCCAAACAATGGTGGCATTGATCTCGTTATCGCTGATCATGCCTTCCTCCAAGAAGTCCACCGGGCATATGGTCTCGTCATAGCCATCGAGCTCATCCATGGCGAAATCAGGCTGCCGTAATCCGTGCCCCGAGAAGTAGAACACCAGGTTCTCGCCTCCCTCGCACCCTTCCACCAGCCATTTCAAAGAGCTTTGGATGTTCTTCTTGGTCGGAATTCGGTCTGGATCTGTTTCTTCTTCTGCAGTGTGCCAATTGAAAATGTTAGGATTTATGAATCTTATCTGTTGGTGAAGTTTCTCACCATGTTTTGCTTTCAGATCTTCTAAACTTTGATATTGCTTAAAGTGGTGTTCATGGTATTTAGATATATCTGATCAATCCAATTCATACCAAGTGTTTTGAATTGTAATCGGTTGATTTTTCGTTTTTTTTCTCCTCTATATAGCTCAACTATTTAGAACATTACTCATCTCCTAAAAGTCATGATACCAGGCGCTCGAATCAAATTCAATGAAGACATTTCTCATCTCTCCTAAATGCATTATGAACTTTGTTTTTGCAAAATCAAATGGATTTTAACTGTAGTTTACCATATACATATACCAAAATCAAAGTATAGATCAATCGGTGTGAATATTTAATACTAAAAGTGTAAACCTTCAAAACTTTAAGTAAATAGTTTATATACTATTTTCATCTTTAGTTCTATTTAATCCTTATATTTGTGAACGTCTAGTTTTAAATCCATTTTCATCAATTGTATTAGATTTTTTCAAGTTAACTTTAGCATAAATCTTAAGTCATGTGTAGACTCGAACTAGTTCAAATGGTTAAGGTAGTTAATAATTAATATTCTTTCTAGTTCAAAGGGTTAAGGTAGTTAATAATTAATATTCTTACAAACTCGTAGGTTCAAATATTTAGACGTTTATTTAAATTATAATATGAGTTATAAAATTGACATGAAACGTGAATCACGAGCCTTCAAAACACAAGTCCATCTCTACATGTACATTTTTCTTTCTTTTTTTTGTTTTTTTTTGGGTTAAACATACTACCCGTAATTTTAGTGTAAACCAAGGGAAGTCAAGGATCCAAAATATAAAATTTCAAAACTTAAGACAAAAATCCAGAGAAAGAAAAGAAACTGATGCGAGAGAGATTATAATGAATTGAACCTGTAAGAATACGAATGTTTTGTTTTGGATATGCAAAATCATTGATCAACAATTCTTGCATATTTAGAACATCATTCACAGTCCCATGTAGCTTGTGTTTCCAGTTCTTGTAAGTCACCCCACAGAGCAGAGCACGTTTCCTCGGCCGCCCGTCCGAGGAGGCAGAGGAGAGGCGCTCCGTCGGAGGCAGTGGTGGCCGGAGAGTAATTTCCGCTCTCGAGTCACCATCCCGATCCATGTTGCGTCTCGTTCGCAGCGCCCCAGCGTCGGAGGAGGAAGGTTTAAACTTGAAGCATTTGCATTTGAAGCCAGTAGTGATTGTTCTATGGTCTTTCTTGCAATTGCAAGTTGCACTTTTGGTATCCATTCTGATGTCCTTCTTCAAGCCAAAGGAGTGAAACAGATAATATATAAAACCAAACCCAAGTGGCTGCTGGAACAAATTCAGATGAAAAGAATCTATAATAGCTTACAAGATTTGATGTTGCTTTTAATTTGGTTGTTTATTTTAGGAAATAAATATTAATTTGTGCCCTCGAATTTTGTAGGTGGAATAAATTATTAAAAGTTTACAAAATTAACAAAATACTTTAGAAAAATACTAGAATTAAGTGGGTGGTAACAATTTTTAAAACCCCAGAACGCTACCGCACTTGTCCGCTTTAGGCATAATCCTCATAACCATTTATTGTTTTTCTTAATTGAACATTTTTTTAGTACAATTTATCGTTGAACTATGTTTGCTTGAATATTTACTAATTTTTGAAATAAGTTTCAAAATATGTATTTTTTCTTTAATTTTATTTAATGCAGCATTATTTTAAAAATAAGTTTAAATAAAAATATTATTTAAAAAAAATCCCCTACATTACATAGTATTTTAGATTTGTAAGACTACTTTTAACCTAAGATATTCATTAATTTTTATCGATTTAAGTCGTTAAAAAACATAAAATTAAATCATATATCAATTTTAGTTAGATGTACGTTTTAATTGTAACAATTAATTAAATTTATTAAACTATATTTTCTATATAATAAAATGGAACTAAAAATATCATTATCTCAAAAAAAAAAGAAGAAAAAAAAAATTCACGCGCATCGCACCTACGTGTAACTACACTACTTAAAAAGCAATTTATTAAGATCTAAAAGTCAAGACGAAGAACGATGAGTATCACGAGAACACAACTACACTACCTTAAAAAGCAACTTATTAAAATGCAGAGTTTCTACTCCAGGTAATTGTAAATTAATTTACTGATTATTGATGATTAGATAGCTAGGTTTAGGTCTAATTTTTTGATAATTGCATATATGTTAGGTAGCATAGGTTAGGTTTCTTGGTTATCGTCTGCTTTGCTTCAAATTATGTCTCATTTTATGTATCCAAAAGATATTTACTTGTTTCTGGTTAATTGAAACTCTAGCCTCCGAAGTTTAATTAATTCTGTATTACTTGAGCATTTATTTGTTATTTTAAGCGAAAAGCTAATCAAGGAACTTGAACTGGAACGACCGAGAATCAGATCGATAAGCTAGACGCCAATCAGTGAAACTAGAGAAGATCAATGCAGTTTAAGCTTAAATGATCAAAGAATCGCAAATGTGCTGAAAAAGGCATGCAGGCCCAAGAAGGTTAAAACAGAACCAAATCCAGGTATAAAACCATTTGGCAAAAGCCAAAATAAGTTAGAAACACGTGGGTGTTGATGAAACTTAGGGTATAAAACCATAGGTAGAAGTCAAATAGTTTAGAAACTCAAACCTTCCAGTAATGGGCGTAGTTCCCCTTCCTTGAAGTTAGCTGGATCATCTTATAGGAATGACCCAATATATACAACACCAACAACGATGAGAGGTCACAGGCAAGGCTACGCGCACCGTAACATACAGCTGAAGAACGGCTTCTGAATATATCAGATGAGATTTCTTTTTTGTCACTACTCTGTATATAGAGTTATACCCTGTAAAAATGTTTACAGTCTAAGACATTATATATCCTCTAAAGAGACACATAAGGTACGTTGTACTTTAGGGTGTTGACTAAACTCAGACTAAGGGTGGTACAGCTAGTTCAAGTAAAAGTAAGATTCCAAGGCGAACAATAAATTTGCAGAGTCCAAGAAACTTGACCATAGCCAACTACGACAAAAGTGTATGGGGCTATTCCACAAAAATAGCCATCCATGAAACGCCAAGCGACAAGTACTTTCAATATAGAAGCGTTAGCATTTTGTTTGATGGTATTAGGATTTCCTAGAGAATATATCTTACATTCAAAAAGAGAGATGTTATGGCCTTAGAATTTTCCCTTAAATAATCATAAGGTACGCTACAAATCTCTACCCTTGCTACGCCGAAATTTCCTACTCTCCAAACCCGACTATTCTGATTGTGACTTAAGCATCAGAGCCTGTATGACAAGAACGTGCGCATTTGACAGAATCTTTGGAGACCAAATTTCTGCATCAACAATAGTGATAGAAATAATATTTTTATTTAAATTGTTTTTCAGAAGTCTTGACTCATATACAATAACATTTACTTGTAAAGTATGACACTGAAAGATATTTTAATGTTAGACACCAGAATAAAATTTAAGCCTACATTTAGAAGCACCCTCTAAAATATTCTACCTACAATTAAAACTTAAAACAATAAGAAAAACATGATTAAGTGAATTTGTTTATATGTCAAGAATAATTCAAATGGAATATTTATTTAAGATTTTAATACATGGTATGGGAAAATAAACTTTATTGACTAATTACGATTAATTGATAACTTATAAAAAGGATGGAATAAATTATTTTTAGTGCATAACTTTGATCTACGAAAAACAATATTTTATTTAGTTTCTTGTTTGAAGAAATTAAAAAAAAAATACAGAGTTCAATGAAATAAAAATATTTGAGTTTTAAAATTCATTGAATTGAAATGATTTTTTTTTTCATTTCAATAACATGCATGCGTAGAATTTTGAATTTTGAACCTCCAGCCTTTTGATCGGAAATATATATATTTTCACTAATTAAACTATGTTCATATGGATAGCTAAAATGATCTTTAAAATTAAAAATACCTTACTTATTGCTAAATTGAGCATAGTTTAAATGGTTAAAACATCTTTCTCTCTGACCAAAAAGTCATGAGTTCAAACTCCCGTCCCATATGTTGTACTAAAAAAATACACCACTTATTTTATTTTATTGTTATTTTTTAGTATAAATTTGTCAAAGATAGGTAGATAAAGCCATTAAGCACCGCTCAGGTTCACTTTATATGAAATTAAATTTTCATTCACTACAAATTAAGGTCTAAATAAATAATGAATCTTATTAATATCTTTATGCAAAAGTAGGGGAGCACATTTTTTTTTCTTTTCAATTTTAAGAGTATAAATATTGGTACTATAATAAATAAAAGCATTGGTACCTCAAAGATCATGTGGATTCAAACTTTTATTTTCATATTGTGTGTAGGTGAAGGTTATAAAAGTAGAATTCCTGAAAGTTTATCAATTGTTTTTAATTTGATCTCTCAAGTTAGAAAGAGAAAAACTTATATTTTAGTTACTCAAGTTTAATAGTGAATCTCATAATTAATGATTCAATGGTATGTGAAGATGACGAGACATGAACCTGTTTTACATATCACGACCCCGTATAAAATTAAAGCTAGTTCAATAATAAAAAAAGAAAATAGAACATGAGTCAATTTTTAGAAGATTAAAGAAAATAATCTTGCCAAAATTTTTTAGCATATTATAGAGATTTTTTTTTCTCAATTCATATTTCATTTAGTCTTACACCTAACAATTTCGTAACTTAACCAGTTAAATAAAGTTCGAGTTAGTAAGAGAGGTGTCGTGACATTGATGAGAGATAAAAAAAGACTGATTCTGTCTTATTTTGCTTCTTGGTCAAGCATAGATAAAAGGGTGATGTAGTTATCTTTATTCGACTATCTTTATAAAGGAGAATATGATGCTAATTCGTTGCTTGGTGTGGCTGAAAAATGGAAAATATTTGCTTAGATTTGATGCTCTACCCTACAAATACTTGATTCCCACTTCACCATGCCTCTTTTCTACTTAAACATAAAAAAATTGGATTATTCTTGAGCATAAGCTAATAATTAATTCATCGTCATGAATTTGAATTTAGTTTTGTATTTGCTAAATCAACCCGTCAAGAGCTCAAGAGGCCGATCAAAAGATTCACAAACCACCAAGAGGCCGATCAAGATCAACAAACCACCAAGAATTCAAGAGAAAGATTAAGAGGATAAGTATTAGAGATTGTACGAACCCCCAAATATCAAATACAAATTGTATTTAGTCCACAAAATATAATTTCTCCGAAAATTTCGTGTGAACACGAGCATAACTCAGCGATAATTGACATATATCTCCAACCAAGAGGATGTGAGTTCGATCCGGCCCCACCCCACATGTTGTACTAAAAAAAAGAATTTAGTTTTATATTTGATTAGCTCATCTTCAATCTAATGTTCGATTTGCCTTATATGAAGTACATTAATATTAATTGATGTACGTATCTAGTATGAGGTAGGGTATTAAATTTCTATTGACATGTTGATATTTTCATCGATATTTTTATATGTCAATGGATTCAACATCGACATGGGGTAAATTGAAATTTTCATACTAGCACAAAAATTGATAAAAAAAAATATATATTAACAAAATATCACTAATATGGATATAATATTGATATTTAATAAAATTTAATGGATTTAAAAAGAATGAAATGCTTGTTTATTGTTTTGAATATTTGTTATAAATTTTCTAGAAATATTAATTGACATCAATATTTTATCGACATTTCCATTGATAGCGACATTTAAAACTTTGGTAGGAAGTACATAAAGATATATTAGTTATAATCGATATATCTATTATGAAGTACATCAAGATATATAAGTTGTAATCGATATACCAAACATGGAGTACATCAAAGTATATTAAGTTGATGTATTGTATATATTGCGTAAATCTAATTTACTTTGTATATAGCAAATCAGTTATAACTGATATCCTTAGTATATTTTGTACATAAAGTTATATCAGTTGATTTATACACCTTAGATGAAGGTATATCAATGACATACTTGATATATTTTAATACATATACTTTAGATATGTAAAATATAATACTAATATACCTTATATGAAGTATATTAGTGATAAAATATGTGATATCACATATCAGGTATATTAGTTACATTTTCTACAATACTAAGTATATCGATTATAATTGATTTACATTATACGAAGTAAATCGATTATAACTGATATATCATAGATGAAGTACATTATTTATAACTCATAGGACACGTCATTCGGAGTTTGACTGAAAGCAATGTGTACG